ATTTAAATGAGCACTTGTGGGGTGAGGGCCCAGTGGTACCCGAAGAGTTATTGTGTTTATAAATCAAAAGGTATTCTGACAGGTAAGATAGGTTAAGATAGCTAAAAGTACCATAAAACTGCAGGAGAAACCAGTACTAGAAATTCGGAGAACATGATTTGCTAATATGTATCAAGACCAATCTGTTAAATCAACTCTTATTTTTCAAGCAGTTTATTCTAAGGGTAGCTAAATTGGAAGACAGACCTCCTCGAGTAGTTTCTACTGTGGGCATGGTAGACAGGAAAGAATATTTATGGCATGGGGTTGCAGCGAAGACAAAATGGGAAGCCATGTCAAGTTCCGTGGAGCAGATGATGTGGTAAGAGCAAAGTTCTCCTGGGAAGCTATTACTGCTTGTGGAGTTTCTCTATCAGCTGGGTGGCATTCTCAAAACTCTCCTTCACAGTCATGTTTATTGTCAATCTCAGGGTCCTTCCTAGTCCTGTGGGCTCTCTCCAGAGTGCTGGGACCAGTGGGTAGACAAGAAACCTCACCCAGGGGACTGGTTCTAGGACCCATGGACATCGAAATCTATGATGCTCAAGTCCCTTACATAAATGATGTAGTGTGTGCATATAGCTTACACCTTCTTTTTTCTCTAAAAAATTAAAAAATACAATTTTACAACCTTTGAAGGTGGTAGATCATATGGATTATTTCTAATACCACTTGAAGTGTTACATAAATAGTTGTTTTGCTGCTTTATTGAGGGACTAAAAGGAAGTATATTTATTATGTTCAGTACCAATGCATTTCCAATTTAAACGTGTTCTTTTATTTTTTAAAGGTTACTTTACGTATGTGCTGTGTATGTGTATGTAGGTGACTATGGAGGACAGAGCCCCTGGAGTTAAATACAGGCAGCTGTGAGCTACCTGACATGGGTGGTGGGAACCAGAGTCCTCTGAGAAAGCAGTCAGTGGTCTTAACCGCTGAGCCATCTCTCCAGCCCTGCATTAAAAAGCTTTTTTTTTTCTCTTACCTTGAGATTACTCCTTTTGCCACTAACATTTGTCTTTAAATATCCATTGTGTAATTTCACATGGTACTATGTTACATAAGGACCCGTTCTCTTTTAAAAATTTAATTTTATAAATGCTTTATTATTTTTGTGTATGAGTTTTTGCCTGCATGTATTAAGTGCACCTGTGTCATGCAATGCCTGTAGAGACCAGAAGAGAGTTATGGACAGTTATTAGCTGCCATATGGGTGCTGGAAGTCGAACCTGTATCTTCTGCAAGAACAGCCAGTGCTTTAACGGCTGAGCCATCTCTCCAGCCCCCACATAAAGATCTTTACAAACAAGTATATAATGTACATTGGGCATATTCTCCCCTAATCCCTTTACCCTGTCCTTTCTTACCCCTGGCCCTTACCATCAGTCAGTGCCCTTTGTTCCCTAGACAGTTTTGTTTCTACTTCCATGTCATGTAATCATGCATGATTTCATGTATCTATATCAAATTTAGAAACCACATATAGGAGAAAACATACATTGTCTTTCTGAAACTGACTTAATTTGCTAAATATGATTATCTGCAGCTGCATCCATTTTCCTGCATGACATAACTTTCTTCTTCTGTATAGTGGAGATGTGTGTGTGTATA